AGGAGCAAAGATTTTATAAATCACTACCTAACTTGGGAGGGACTAGAGAGCATTATGCTAAATGAACTAACTCAGTCCCATAAAGACAAATATTGTTTAAGAGCATTATTGTAGAACATGTATGAAGGATCCAAGGACAGGGGAGCAGAACAGTGAAGATGGGCAGAGGGGTGTGTGTGTGTGTGTGTGTGTGTGTGTGTGTATGCTAATCATAGGGTCGCACAATTAGATGGGTGGAGGGAGAGGTGGCTACAGGAGATGGGAAAGATTGGGTGTAAAAACCAAGGTATATGATCTTTGTAAGTAAACTACTGTAAAATAATATTTTTTAAATATACACGCACACACACATACACATACAGAATGGAGAGGGGTCTTGTGACCAAATTGTTTGACAACTCTTGTTATATAGTATTATTTTGATCTAATTTCAGCTCAGGTAGTTTTATAAGATATTTATGTAGGTTTAAGAAATGTTTATGATTCAGATTAACTCATGGTTTAAGTAAGAGGTACTTGTTGAGTTAATGATTCCATGAAAAATTAACATGTAAATGAAATTTATTTGGGTTTATCAATGTTTTATATTCCTAATTATAGAATATATTTTTATAGGTTATTGTAAGAAATAAAATTATATTGGCTAAAAGAATTTACCTCAATGAAAAAGCCTGGACTAAATACACTAAACATTTCATCATACTGATATCAACAAAGGTAAATTGAGTAACTTAAGGTATGAGGGGAAAATTGTGGGTATTGAGTGTTGAAACTACAAAGTGCTTTTGCTAAATTTTAGATTTTCAGTTGTAGTTTTCTGTTTGAATTTTGTTGTGAGTAGAGTAAAAAGAAAAATTATTCAAATTTTTTAAATTGCAATCAAATTTAAGCAGCTTACCTAACTTTAATAACAATGAAAATATAGAGTCACTATTCTATATTTAAGGCTTAATCTAAAATGAAATAACTTATAAGTAGCTGTGTTTATAGAAAATGTTCTATTTTTGGCCCATTCTATACAAATTTGGGGTAAAATTCAGTGAGCACCATAGAATAAAAAGGAGAGAATGACATTTGGTATGTTGTTGCTGTAAACCATTCCATTTTCTATTTCATTTAACCCATATTGTAGGATATGTTTCATAGTATTTATTTTTTTGTATAATTAAAATTAGTCTCAAATAGACTCTTCCCAAAGTTAAACAGACATTAAATGCCTAAGATTCAGACCTGACATTTGTGGCTTTGTATTTGCTATTCTTGCCTCTGTACCACTCTACTTCTCATGAGAGACCTGTAGGAAAATGAGTTTTATTTTGAAAAGGAAAGAAAATCTTGTCCATACAAATTAGGACTCACTTTGAGGAAAATGGGAATCCCAGAACACATGATAGTGCTAATGTGAAACCTATACTTGGATTAAGAAGCAGTCCTCAGAACAGAAAAAGGAAACCCTGTGTGCTTCATATTCAAGAAAGGAGTGTGTCAGGGATGCATCCTGTCTCTATACCATTTCTATCTATATGCAGAACTGATCATTCAGGAAGCAGGTCTTTTTATGAGTGAAATGTGGCATCAGGATTAGAGGAAGACTCATCAACAGCCTGTGTTGTGCAGATGATACAACATTGCTTGCTGAAACGGAAAAAGACTAAAGTGCTTGCTACAGAAAGTCAAGGACTGCACTCTTCAATATGGATTGATGCTCAACATCA